CAGGATTTATAATTTGGTATATTATTTGTTCTTTTGTTTTTTGGTTTGCAGCGAGTCTCGCTCTGCCGCCCAGGGTTGAGTGCGGTGGCGGATCTCAGGCTCGACTGGCCAGAGAGCTTCCGCCTCCTGGTTCACGCCATTTCTCCTGGCTCAGTTGTCTCCCGAGGCTGACTACAGGCGCCCGCTCACCGTCCTTGCCCGGCTATGTTTGTTATTTTTTGTTTGTTATGTTGTTAGTAGTGATGGACTGTTTGCTGCTTGTTTGTTGTTGGTTCCACCGGTGTTAGCCATGGTATGTTCTCGATCGCTTTCTGACCTCTGTGATTTTTTTTTCCCCCGTCTCGGCTCCCAAAGTGCTGGGCATACAGGCGCTGAGCCACCGCGCCGGCGGCGGTTGTCCAGGCTGGGCTCCAGCAATCCTCCCACCTTGGCCCTCCAAAGTGTTGGGATTCTAAGTGTGAGCCACCATACCTGGCCTGACTATAAGTTTAAAACATATATATTTATATATGGAGATATATTTATTTATTTATATTTTAATGGCTCTTTAAAAAACAGTTGGCAAAATTCCCCAGAACTTAACAATATGCTCTTGTGAGCCAGTGTGAACCAGCTTCAGGACACCACTGCATCCATCCATCCATCCATCCATCCATCCATCCATCCATCCATTCTGCCCTTTTAGTTTCTCTCTTCTCTGTCCCCAGCACAATTAGGGAGGCCTCAGCTTGTGGTCTAGCATCCTTCTCTCCCTTCTCTGTGCTGACACTAGAGAGATCTTTCATGCTCCTGTTCCAAAGGCATCCCTGCTCCCCATGCTTCCAAGAGAAAGTGAAACATCCCAGCATTGGATACCCTTCCCTTTCTGCCTTCTGCTGTTCCTTCCCATCTCATCTGCATCCCATCCATCCATAACACCTCAACTCCTGCACTCTCCAACTTCCCACGGTCCGTTATATTGTCCACCCCAGAATGCCAGAATGCCCTCCTCCCACCCCCTTCTCTTTTTTTCTTTTTTTTTTTTTTTCTGAGACGGAGTCTTGCTCTGTCGGCCAGGCTGGAGTGCAGTGGCGCGATCTCGGCTCACTGCAAGCTCCGCCTCCTGGGTTCACACCATCCTCCTGCCTCAACCACCTGAGTAGCTGGGACTATGGCGCCGGCCCCCATGCCCAGCTAATTTTTTGTATTTTTTTTTTTTTAGTAGAGATGGGGTTTCACCGTGTTAGCCAGGATGGTCTAGATCTCCTGACCTCATGATCCACCCGCCTTGGCCTCCCAAAGTGCTGGGATTACAGGCGTGAGCCTCTGCACCCAGACATTTTTTTTTTCTTTTTTTTTTTTTGAGATGGAGTCTTGCTCTGTCACCAGGCTGGAGTGCAATGGTGTGATCTCGGCTCACTGCAACCTCCGCCTCCCGGGTTCAAGCGATTCTTCTGCCTCAGCCTCCCAAGTAGCTGGGATTACAGGTGCACACCACCAAGCCCTGGCTAATTTATATATTTTTAGTAGAGACGGGGTTTCACCATGTTGGCCAGGCTGGTCTTGAACTCCCGGCCTCAAGTGATCTGCCCACCTCGGCCTCCCAATCCCTCCCAAAGTGCTGGGATTATAGGCGTGAGCCACTGCACCTGGCCTCCACCTCCTTCTCTTTCTGCTCTCCTCCAAGGCCCAGGTCAAATGCTATCTTCTTGATGAAAACTTCCTAGATCTTCCTTTTAGAAATAGCTTTCTCCTTCCCCCACACCAGCAGAACTCTCCTGGTACCTTTGTTACATCATCAACGCCTCCTGCCTGGCTTTAGAAGTAGCTGGATGCCTGTCTATCTCCTTCCCAGACTGTGAAGTTATTTTCAGCAAAATTCAGCAAATGGCTGATGACCTACTACCTACCATGTGCCAAGCAGTGTGCTAGGCCCTGGAGGATGAAAAAATATCCAGTAGGAACCAAATCCCAGTCCTCAAAAGCTCTCAATCTCATAGAAGAGATAAGAGGTGAACATAAACATTATCCCAATGTTCTATAGTAGTTGAGACAAGAAAGTGACCTTCCTGGTGGGTGGGGTGGACCAGAGAAGAATTCATGGAAAAGGTGGCATTTGATTAGGATTACTTGGACAATTATCCCATCCTGCTCATTGTCCTCTCTTCTGACCCCCTTAACCACCTTCTGAAACTGTTGCTGGTACATCCTTGACCAAATTCTGATATTCTTGCTTGATGTTGCCTGCTTGGTGTTGGTTGTCCATATGCCTGGCAGGGCGTGCTGATGCCCAGCTGTGTCCATGCCAGGATTCCAGAGGAGAGTCAGCCACCCAGCAAGCAGGTGAAGCCACTCTTCCGCCACTTCCGCCGGATAGACTCCTGTCTGCAGACCCGCGTGGCCTTCCGGGGCTCTGATGAGAGTGAGTGTGGGCATTAGGAGGGGCAGGGTGTCCTGAGTGGTTCAGGCGGACATGTCTCTGGGTCTTGGGCACCCTCAGTGGTATCTGGGTGGTAGAACCAGCCCCTTTCACAGGACCTTCTTCAGAGGTGGGGAACAGTGGCACCCTGGAGGAAACTGTTCCAGCTGCTGCCACTCTGCCCTCTGTTGAAAGCCATTTTCCTGTTTCCGTCCAGTCTTCTGCCGCGTATACATGCCTGACCACTCTTACGTGACCATACGCAGCCGCCTTTCAGCATCTGTGCAGGACATTCTGGGTTCTGTGACGGAGAAACTTCAATATTCAGAGGAGCCCGCGGGGCGTGACGATTCCCTCATCCTGGTAGCTGTGGCCTCCTCAGGAGGTGAGGGTCAGGAAGAACTGGGCTGATGCTCCGAGAGGAGAAACTCACAAGCTCAGTGCCCTGTGGGAGGGGAAGAGACTGAATTCTAGGCCCTTGCTACTCAAAGTATGGTCCTGGGACAAGCCTCATGTGCATCACCTGGGAGCTTGTTAGGATGCAACATCTTGCTAGGTGCAGTGGTGCAAACCGGCAGTCCTGGCTACTCAGGAGGATTGCTTGAGCCCAGGAATCCAAGGTAGTACATTATGGTTGCACCTGTGAATAGGCACTGTGCTCCATCCTGGGCAACATAACAAGACTCTGTCTCTAAAAGAGATGCAGCATATGAGACCCCACCCCAGACCTGCTGGTCTTGTTCAAATCAGCATTTGAACAAGACCCCTAGGAGACTCCTATGCCTACTAAAGTTTGGGAGGCACTAGCTGGGCATGGTAGCGTGCACCTGTAATCCCAGCTACTTGGGAGGCTGAGGCAGGAGAATTACTTGAACCGCGGAGGCGGAGGTTGCATTGAGCCGAGATCGTGACACTGTGCTCCAGTCTGGGCAACAAGAGCAAAACCCTGTCTCAAAAAAAAAAAAAAAAAAAAGTTTGGGATGCCCTGGTCTAGGACTCAGGTTCTGACCTGGGTGCTGCCCCTCACTCACCTATGGATTGTGTTCTGGTCCTTTAACCTCCCGGTGTATGTAAGGATGCCACATTTCCCAGGCTAAACACACAGGATGAGTGGGAAGGCAGAAAGCCAGCAATGTCGCTAAAGCTTTGTTTTCCTCTACAGTAGGAAAACATTTCAGCCTTCCCAGTGTCACAAGGACAACAGAGTAAGAGAAAAGCTGTGAAAGAAAGGGAGTAGAAAAAAGTTATAAATGCAAAAGAAATCATCATTTGACCAATTCCAGATAAATATGGCATAAACTGGTGATAATATGAGTTCCATTCGTCTACAATGTGTCAGTGTGGGGTGAGGAGTTTTTGGATAGGACAGAGCCAAGTGTGGGGTGTGTGTGAGGGTCCAGGCAGCAGGGGCTGAGGATGAGCAGCTCTTTCTCCTGCAGAGAAGGTCCTTCTCCAGCCCACTGAGGACTGTGTTTTCACCACACTGGGCATCAATAGCCACCTGTTTGCCTGTACTCGGGACAGCTATGAGGCTCTGGTAAGAACTTCCCAAGGCCTTGGCTGGAATGGAGGGGCTGAGGCGGGCTGTGAGCAATCCCTCATCCTGCCACCAGGAGCCCAGCTCCTATACCCCTGCCTGCCACCAGGTGCCCCTCCCCGAGGAGATCCAGGTCTCCCCTGGAGACACGGAGATCCACCGAGTGGAGCCTGAGGACGTTGCCAACCACCTAACTGCTTTCCACTGGGAGCTGTTCCGATGTGTGCACGAGGTGGGGACCAAGGCTGGCGCTGTGCTGGGGGGCTGGAGGGAGAAATGTGCCATTGGGAGACGGTGTTCGCAGCACAACGTCCTGGTTCAAGGCTCACTTGCAGCAAGCCCTTGGGCAACGCATGGCCGTAACCTCTCTTTGTTCCCCCATCTGAAAAAACTCGCAGAGAGAGAGAGAGACCTCAGAGCAGAGTGGCTCAGGGCCCAAGTGCTGCTTACACAGAACCTGACCCAGGATTTGTGTTTTTAAAATATTCACTATTAAAGAAATAAAATAAGGCAGAGACAATAATGCCTAGCAGATGGTTGTCTTGAGGATGTCAGCCGTGAGCGCTTGCCTGGCACCTAGTATGTGCTCAGTAGCTGGTGGAATATTATTAATGCTGGTTGTTTTCTTTTTCCGCATCTTTGCCGCCTCCTGTCCCTTCTATTTTTCTATTTTCCACCCCTTCCGCCCCCGCCCTCCTGCCTTTCGCTCCTCATCGCCTTGCACTGCCATCTTCCCACCCACTCCCCTCACTGCCGGGCGCCCTGGCCGCCTCTCCGCTGCCGTGGGTGCAGCTGGAGTTCGTGGACTACGTGTTCCACGGGGAGCGTGGCCGCCGGGAGACCGCCAACCTGGAGCTGCTGCTGCAGCGCTGCAGCGAGGTCACGCACTGGGTGGCCACCGAAGTGCTTCTCTGCGAGGCCCCGGGCAAGCGCGCGCAGCTGCTCAAGAAGTTCATCAAGATCGCGGCCCTGTGAGTGCAGCCGTCGGCGGGAGGGGGAGCCCAGGCCCGAGGCCCGCGCCGCCGCCCGCCCCTGACCCCGCCTCCCACCCCCGCAGCTGCAAGCAGAACCAGGACCTGCTGTCTTTCTACGCCGTGGTCATGGGGCTGGACAACGCTGCTGTCAGTCGCCTTCGACTCACCTGGGAGGTGATGAGACCCCTCCCGTTCCTACCTGGGGATCTGGGCATCCCGGGCTCCCCGAATTGCGTCCTCTCGGGACGGCCGCTGGCCTGGTGGGAGTCTTTGTGCCAATTGGAGAGAGGCGCCCTCTTCTGGCATACGCAACCCCAGGGCGCACAGCTTGGCTAATGGACCCTGTCTTTGTGCAAATGAGTGAAAAGCCAGGATCCCGCCTGAGTCGCAGCAGGCAGCCCTTGGCCAGGTCAGGTCGCAGACTTGGCTGTGGGAGTTGGGCTGATTTTCAGCCATAGTCAGTGGGGCCATCTTTGTACAAAGCACCTACATAAGAGAGACCTGGCCTTCCCCAGAATAATAAATTCCTCTGGGCTGTTTCAAGCTTCTAGACTTAGCCAAGGCCTGACTTCATTTCCCCACCCACCAGCTTCCCAGCCCCCTACAAGCCATGCAGGCCCTTTTGCCCTCCAACAGGGAGAATTAATCCGAGGCTCCCATGTAACCCAAGGAGCTCCACTCTGATATCCCTTCTCCTTCCTTCAAACTCTGCAGAAGCTGCCAGGGAAATTCAAGAACTTGTTCCGCAAATTTGAGAACCTGACGGTGAGTGGGTTTGGCTCTTTCTTCTGCTCTTGGACTTAGAGCCCAGAAACCCTCTGTTCCCATAAACCCCCTTCCTCGAGCTTTCCTTTCAAGGTGTTTAGGGTGTGTGTGCGACCCCCACCCTCCTTACCATGCTGGAGGGGGAGGGTGGAAGGATTGCGCCCCTGTGTTTCTTGAAGTAAAGAGGGAGTAGTCAGGCCCCTCCCCACCACACCATTAGAAAACCCTCAGTACCCCTATCTGATGAGGAATGTATACAGGGCAGGGGGTGAGGGAGGAAGCTGGGGACATCTTTGGGACGCATTGGCCAGTCTGTCCCTTGATCTCTCTCCTGTGGAATACTAGGACCCCTGCAGGAACCACAAAAGCTACCGAGAAGTGATCTCCAAAATGAAGCCCCCTGTGATTCCCTTCGTGCCTCTGATCCTCAAAGGTGAGAGAGTAACTCCCAAGCTGTGCTGCTTCCACCCATGCTTCCCTTCTCCTATATCCCGCTTCAGACTTCCAGCCCCCTCTCGACTCAGCCCTGAGTATCCGCCTGGAGAGGAGCCCCCCACCCCAGACACAGTGGGTTCTGGGGAAGAGCGGGGTCCTCAGGTGCAGGGGTCCCTTTGGACCTCCTCTCTTATCCTTTCCTCACATTGGATTCTCTCCACATCCCCTAGATCTGACTTTTCTGCACGAAGGGAGTAAGACCCTTGTAGATGGTTTGGTGAACATTGAGAAGCTGGTGAGTGAGTGGCACTGCAAACCTCTAGTCCCACAAGTGAGGGGCTTGCGTCCTCTCCCTCTCTCATCACCTCCCAAAAATAGCAGCCTTCCTCCAAGTGCCCAGCTTGCCTAACAGACTCTTGACTGTCTCCCTGGTGGCATCACTGTGGCAACCCACCCACGGGTGGCAGAGCTGACAGGCAGCTTGGGGGCAACTCCACCTCCCCCTCACCTGGCACTCTGTTACACCCACTCCTTTGGTCCTTCAGAGACCCTCCAGAATTGGAGACTGGAGGGAGTAAAGCAGAGTTGGAGAATGGCGGAGGGGGAGCATAAGAGGGGGAGCCTCTTTCTCTGCCCCTTTCAGGGCTCATTCCTTGTCATCTCCCAGCATTCAGTGGCCGAAAAAGTGAGAACAATCCGCAAATACCGGAGCCGGCCCCTTTGTGAGTACCCAGGGTACTGAAAGCAGTACAGGTAGAGCTTTGACTGAATGGGAGGGTTCAGGGCAGAACTCCCTGTCCAAATGTGTATTTCCATACACTTGCTGGTTCCCCATTCTGTCCTTGCCTCTGCAGAGGCCTTCTTGCCCAACATCTGTCTCAGTCCACAGCCTGATCCTCTGCCCGGTGTGTGTGTAGAGGAAAAAGGGAGGCTGGGAACCTGACTCCCTCTCCCTCTTTACCCACTAGGCTTGGACATGGAGGCATCCCCCCATCACCTGCAGACCAAGGCCTACGTGCGCCAGTTTCAGGTCATCGACAACCAGAACCTCCTCTTCGAGCTCTCCTACAAGCTGGAGGCGAATAGTCAGTGAGAGTGGAGGCTCCAGTCAGACCCGCCAGATCCTTGGGCACCTGGCACTCAAGCACTTTGCACGATGTCTCAGCCAACATCTGACATCTTTCCCATGGAGCAACTTCCTGCTCCACGGGAAAGAGTTGGATGGATTTACCCCTGGACCCATAAGTCTGTTCATCCTGCTGAAGTCCTCTCCCCATTGCTCCTTCAAGCCAAAACTACACTTTGCTGGTTCCTGTCCCCTCTGAGAAAGGGGGCAGAAAGCTCCTTCCTCTATCCCTCCCATCGAGATCTGTTCTGGGGATGGAGCTTCCAACTTCCTCTTCCCAGCAGGAAAGAATGCCGCCCACCCTTCTGCCTTGCAGAGTGGGATTGTGGGAGGGATTGGCAGCCTTCTCCACCACCTGTCCAGCTTCTTCCTGGTCAGGGCTGGGACCCCAAGGAATATTATGTTGCTGTGTGTGTGTGTGTGTGTATGTCTCCTTTTAGGGAGCAGAAGTGCATCTGGTAATTGAGGGCGGATGTTGGGTGTACTGGGGAGGGGTCCTTCTGTTTGGTGCTACCCTTGTCTACTCTGCCCCTGGATGGTACGGGGTGCTTTCTCCACCCCCACACTCCCTGCTCAGCTCCTCATGCTGCCCTGCATGCCCAGGCTGGTGAGCCAAGCTGCTTTTCAGGGCAGGGAGTGGCAGCAGGTAGGAGGGGTTACCCATCAGCCCCTGCAAGTCCCCCACTCAGGCCTCTGGAAGGTCCGGGAATGGACTCTGATGAGAGGGTAAAAGATGCTCAGGGAAACACAGGCCTCAGCTGCCTAGAGGACCCTCCCCCTGCCTTGCAGTGGGCTGGGGTAGAGCAGTATCAGGAGCTAGGGGTGTCTGCTGCCCACATTCCTGCTTTTTGGGGTATCTAACTGCTAAGGAGGGAGTTGGCATCCCCCTTCTGACTCATGTGTCTGACACCAACAACATGGTCTCTGTCCCTCTCCCTGTCTTGACTCCTCCTTTGTCCTCCCCATAGAGCTGGGGTGGGGTGGATCCCTATACCTGGGGCAGGCAGCCCCAAAGTGGGGGAGGGGGATGGCGGAGACTGTAAAGGCGCCACCGGACTCTGGCAAGGCCTTTATTACCTCTGCTCCCCTCCCTCCCATCACCAGCCTCAAGGCCTGAGGGGTTCAGGGGCTCCTGGCAGCTACTGGGTGAGGTTTCCTGGCACAGCCTCACCCTTCTTTCTGGCACCACCTCTTTCCCTTTTGAAGAGGCAGCAATAGCAGTAGCAAAAGCAGCTGCTGTTCCTGCTATGAGGGTGTATATATTTTTTACCCAAAGTTCTGGAATTGTACATTTATTTTTTAAAACTCAAAGAGGGAAAGAGCCTTGTATCATATGTGAACATTGTATCATAGGTAATGTTGTACAGACCCTTTTATACAGTGATCTGTCTTGTTCCTGTGGCAAAAATCCTCTATGAACATAGGCAGGCGCTGTGCCCCATGCCCTCTTGCCCTGACAGTGTCCCATGGGCCCCCTCCTGTTCCCTGCCCCCTCCCTGCTACTGCTGATGCACTCTCCTCTCCCTGCGGCCCCCAGCTTCCCAGCCTTCCTCCTGACCCCTTCCAGCAGCCTTGGAACTCCAGCTGCCACCACCCTCTGGGTCGAATACTGGGACACACTGGCCCAGTCTTTGCTGCTGCTCACCCCTAACCTTGATGCCTGCCCAGGGACCCCCCAGCCCCCTCCCCTTGCCCTGCAGCTTTAACAGAGTGAACCATGTGTATTGTACAGGCGCAGTTGTCATTGCAGAAACTGCTGGGTGGAAAAGAAGCCGATAAAGTCTATGAATCAACCTGTCTGCTGTTCTCCATTCTGTTTTCTTTGAGGCTGTGGAAGGGCTGAGGGAGGGGAGAGGGGATGACCCCCCAGTGCTGCCAGGAGCAGGGCTGTTTTGGAGAGACTTTGAAAATGTGGGTGGCTGGGTACCAGACTCTGCCATTTAAGGACGCTTTTGGGAACACGCAGAAACCAGAAGGATGACAGAAGATATATTTAATTTACCAGCTTTTAAACACACGAACACTCCGAGGTTACACCACAAAGCTGGGATTACATTCTGGGGGAACGCGCCGACACCTACGAAAAGAAAAATACAGGGAAAGAAAAAAAATCGTAAAATGCTTATTATCTACAATACCACATACTCGGCGACACATTCTGCCTCGTACCCCTCTTACGCTCCGCGCCCAGGGAAAAGTGTATTCTCATGCCCACAGGTTTCTTCAAGGCAGTAATTCTCCAGGACTTGGATGTCTGGGTGATCTTTTCTCCACGGCCAAGTCTTTCACTAGGGGAATTTTCTCACACAGGCATCATCTTAGGGTTTATTAATACCCTCCCAGAACGAGTTCGTCTTTCCTCCGCAGAACGCAAGTTACGTATCCTTGAGTACCGGGGCATACTCAGAAGGAACAGCTATCCGTTGTGTCTAGTGACTCGACTTAGAAACACTCCACATTTCTTCAGTGCTGGATAATGCAATTTTCCGTCTCGCGCACGTGCTCAGCGCTCTCTTCTTCCCTAGATGCAATTCTTCACAATGCTCCAGAGCATATGATCAGGGGGCAATCTTTTTTTTTTTTTTTTGAGACGCCGAGTCTCTGCCTCTGTCGTCCAGGGCGTGGCGTTCCAGTGGCGCAATCTTGGCTTCACTGCGCAACTTCCGCCTCCTGGGTTCAAGCGGGGATTCTTCCTGCCTAGCCTCCGAGTAGCTGGGATTACAGGCACACCGCGCCCACCCCACCGCAACCTGGCAGTTTGTTGTATTAGGTGGAGACGGAGGTTTCACCTGTGTTGGTCAGGCGCGCTGGTCCTCAACCTCCTTCGCCACCGGATTCGGAATGAAGGCCTGGGAATTACAGGCCTTGAGCCACCAGGCCTGAGCCATCAGCGGTCAATCTTAAGGTTAAATGCCTTTGCCTGTGACAACTGCGACTCTCAGAATGCCTACAGACCTGACTAGCCCACATAAACTTCTCGCAAAAACTTGCACAGTGTGGCCAAGACGCGGGTTAACTCCTCTGCAACCATGCCCAATTGGTGGACCAGACCTACAGAGCTGCAGTTGGGGTTGCTGGTAACAGCCCCTCCCTCTCGCCCAGAATCACACACCCTTCTCAAGCTTTTTTTAAAGAATGTACAATCTGACATAAGTATCCAATTCCTTGTTGGCAGATCAAAAACTTTCGAGTCTGCCTGGCTAACTAAACACAAGGCTTTCATTTGCTGACTGCCTTTCTTCCTTCTCTCCCTCTCCATTCCTGGTCTACCGGAACTCTCTGCATCTATTCCAATAGTCTGTACCCGTCTTTCAAACACGTGCTTGTACGAGGATCCTCATGATAGCAGGTATGAATTGTAGTCCTACCGGAACTAAGGGTATAATAATAATAATAGTAATAATAATAATAATAACTGTCCAGCTAATACATGCCGAAACTAGCATTTTACTAGTGCCTTTTATACAAGCCACTCTGAATCCTAGTGAGGTAAGTGGCCATCCACTTTCCCAAATTAGTGAACCAGGAGCCGGAAAGATTAAACCACTTGCGCGACAGTAAAGCACAGCCAAGAGTTCAAGAGGCTAGGACGCGAGGAAACCAGTTAGTTTAGTCCAGAGTCCATGCTCTTAAACATGTTTTTCGTTGCATCTTCTTGTCTATGCATATCCATTTAACGTTTTGACTCTATCCCGATTCCTTGGGGTGGGAAAGATAAACCTGTATTACGTTCTTTTTTTTTTTTTTTCTTTTTTTGAGCGGGAGTCTCGGCGCTGTGTCCCCCAGACTGAGAGGTGCAGTGGCGCCGATTCGGCTCACTGCCAAGCCTCCGCCTCCAGCGCTCACGCCAAGTCTCCTGCCTCCAGCCCCACTACAGGCGCCGCCACGCGCACGGCCCGGCTAGTTTTTTTGTATTTTTAGTAGGACGGGGTTGTCACCATTGTTAGCCAGGATGGTCTCGACTCCTGACCTCCGTGATCCACTTGAGCGGAGCCAACACCCGCCTCGGCCTCCCAAAGCTGCCTGGGATTACCAGTGCTTGAGCCCACCGCGCCCGCCAACCTGTATTATTCTCAGATGTTCTCTACACAGCGCGGAGTTCAGACGCTAAGCAGGTGGGCGCGGAACAGATCAGTTTCATTCCAATCATTTACGGGGATAGCAGCACTGTGGCTCAAGCCTGTTCATCTCGCACTTTGGAGAGGCTGAGCGCAAGGAGCAAATGTGGGTGTGAGCCACGGACCAGGCGGGCAGGCGATGAAAAAAAAGAAAAATTTTTGGCGGTGAGTGTGGCCACCATTAGCAGTCAGCAGGTTCATTGCCAACAAATCCCATACAGTGTTCTCTTTAATGGTTGGCAGGCCCTTGTTCACCTGGGTCCCTCCCAGTGGCTGATGGGAATTTTTGTTAAAGGTTGCCTAGAACAGACCTCCGTTTTCGCTCACGTTTGTGCTGGATTACCCAGGGATTGCGGATCGGAGGAAGCAGGCACCAGGGTCTCTACAATGAACACCACAATATACAACATTATATACTAATTCATAATAACTCAAGCCATACCAGCAGGTAGGAGGGCTAGAATCCTCTTTAGGAAAATTACATATACACAACAACAATATATCTGGCCAAACATGGACTACACACTACACAAGACACTCCTTCACCTAAAGGACTTGGGCTTTCGAGAGACACAAAAACAGAGATGGGCACGTAAAATCTGCTCTTAGTCCTCTTGCCACATCCCCTTTCCCCTAAAACAATAAACCTGGGTTGGGGTGGGGGATAGAGGGTGAGGAAGATAGAGAAATTAAAAGCAATAGCTGGCACAGGGTTCCCATCGCCCTGTTAATCCTAGCCAGTTTGGGAGGCCGAGGGCGGGTGGATTACCTGAGGTTGGGAAGTTCAAGACTCAGCCTGGCCCATCACCGATCGGTGAAACCCCCGTCTCTACTAAATAGTAAACAAAAGAAATTAGCAGGTGTAGTGGCACGATGGATGCGTGCCCTGTAATCCCAGCTACTCAAGAGAGGAAGGGAGGCTGCAGCCCAATTGCTTGACCCGGGAGGCGGAGGTTGGTAGCGAGATCGCACCACTGCACTCCAAGCCTGGGCCTACAGAGTGGACGCTTCGTCAAAAATAAATAGAAACAAAATAACTACAGAAAATATAAAGACTAAATCTCAATTTCAATTATGTGCAAAAAGACAAGCTTATTTAATAAATGGGGTGCTTTAAAAATTTGGTTATCCAGCAAGAAGTAAGCAAACCTAGGTTTCCGTACCCTTACCTAGATAATAATAAGACCCAGTGGCAGGAACAGGAGTTCAGACCCTGGAGGTACATACTGAGAACCCCATCTCTAAAAAAAAATTTTACTGTTGTGGTGTCTTGGGTGGCTGAGGCTGGAAGGATTGCTTGGCCCAGGAGTCGAGCTGCAGTGAGCTGTATTCATGTCACTGCCACACTCACAGCTTGGGCAAGCAGAGAGGGGGGCTCTGTCTCAAAAAAAAAAAAAAAAAAAAATCTGATGAATGTCCCATTTTCCTG